CCGTCATCATGTATTTTTCTCCTGGCGTGTTCACTCGTAATTCATAGCTAAATAAGTCCTCTGTTGATCACTTTTTCGGGAAATGAAAGCCTTAAATAATCCTGAATATTTGTAAAATCAACAAAGTGACAATATATATTGTTTGCAGTGGGTATAAAGGAATTTATTAACTTATTTTTTCCCAATTGCATTTAGAGTAATGACTTATAAAGGCTTCTAAAAGAGTAAAAAGATTCTTGGTTTAAGTACCTTGAACGTGTTTGAAAAGTACTCTTTTAAACTGTACGAACCCTGAATATAAAATAAATGTTGCTGTAGGATTATGTTGCATTCTAATTAAGCCTCTCTTTCTCTGCACAGGTTATTCACTATGGGAGACAATATAGGGAACCTCTTTTACCCAGGGAACATGTTACCCTTTACTAGGGGGGAAGGGTCTGCCTGCTGAGGGGAGGGAAGGGGTGCGGACCCCTCCGCGACCTGGTGGACGGGGTGGGAGGGAGGTGGTAGCTGCAGTGCTCACTGCCCCCATGCACAGGCAAGGGGGGAAAAAGGGGCTAGCAGAACAACCTTATCATGGGAGGAAAATTCATCTAATCACATCTCAATCAGAAATAATGAAACCTGTCACTTTCTTTTCTCCGTTTATTACCCAAAACATCTTGTTTTCTGTTACCTGAACTACTGGAAAGAAATGTAAGCAAACATGGGGAGAACTTTGCAGAACCCTGTAAAGCATTTGCTCTTTAATTCTGGTTAGATGAGGAGTTTGCACATATTGAAAGGGGGTTTTTTTTGCAGGAAAGTCTTCAGAGCATTTATAATCATGTCAGCCAGGTAAATGGCACGTGGTCATTCACAACACAACTGAATTCTACCAATAGAGTACAGTCTTAAAAAATGAAGTGAAGTTGAAGATTCATCAAGAGGGATTTTCTCAAAATACAAGGATAGCTTCAAACTAAGGAAGAGCAGCTGATGCTAAGAAGGCATCATATTGGATCCGACTCTGGCGAATATAATTTTAAATGTTTCATATCACCAAGAATAAGTATAGTTATCAGATTATTTGAGCGTTCCCATTCTTTAGCAGGGCAAAGGCTGTTAATTATGTCACTGGAGAGCACAAGATTTACTTTTAAGAGCAGCTTTTCTGGGAATAGGTAGCATGCTTGTATCATTGTGAAAAGCTGTGGAACATTAGTGATGTATGTTGCGTTTGACAGCCGTCTTTGCCCTGTGATAAGGTTCTTCTTTGACCTTGTAATTTATCTATTTACAGTACTTTTTGATTTTATTTCCTCTACCAGAGAATTACGGCAATCAGCTGTAATGTAGCATGACTGGGTTTATACACCAAATGTAGGAAATGTGTAAAATCTTGGCTGTGATGTAACGTTGGAGTGAATCTCCCAGTTTGGTCTTGTGGTGTGAATGCTGACATGGACATTCATCAGCAAGCATAGCGACGCTTTAGATGCTAACAGTCCTTAATATTGTCTGAGCCTCGTGAAGGAAAAATGGAGGAGAAACAAGTAGGAGACACCACGACACAAATCCTGTCTTAGTGATTTTTGTGACTTTGGCTGTCAGAACCATGCAGTCCATCGGATGAATGTTAAATATGTTTATTTCTCAATGTACTCAAGTTTTTTTTTCTTTCGTTTTTTTTCTTGGGTGTTTGGCTTCTTGTGCTAAAAGCATGATCTTGAGGATGACTGTATAATGTTTTGGGTGGTTGTGTTTTGTGGGGTACTTTGATGCTTTCATCTTTTGCATGTTGGTGGCCCCTCACAGCCCAACATATAGTGGGAAGGGGATTACGGGAGGGAGGGGAGCTTCAATTTAAGGTTTAAAAAGTACATAGTAACAGTTTATGTATTGCGACACTGGGACTTTTATAACTTCACATTTTCTTGCTGGAGTGTTTCCCTAAACTTTTACCCCATAGCTGGATGTATAGTTTTTAAATACTGTGAAACTACAACAACGTTATTGTCTCTGGTTGTTTTGCGCTGTTATATTTTATAAAGTGTGTAAGTGTTTAAGTTACAGATAGCCTGAATGTATTCCATGATGGGTTGGAGAGATGGGATTTTTTTTTAAATTGTTCTGTTTTTTTAATGCCCAGCCAGTCATTTTTCCTCTGCTGGCCAGAGTAATAACTGCAGTATTTTAACCCTTTGCGATGCACATGACATGCACTTAAAATTTAAATTGCAAGTGCTTGAAATTAATGATGTAGCCAAACCCTCCAGAATATGACCTTAGTGTTAACACAGATCATTAATTAAGTATTGCTGCTAAAATGTATTTACCTAATGCAATAAGTATCTTGATGCAATGGGATTATCAGATTGTGAAAGTAGTTTAATGTTTAATAATAAACTTTCACGATATGAAATATGTAACTGATCTCTTAGATTTTAACATTAATGAGGTAAACCGGTGAATACAGGATTTAATGCATCATGGAATACAGAGGCAACGACTTGTATGTGCCACATCATTTTGTGTTTTGAAGTGATTTTGTCTGTCACATTCCAGCTGTTTGGCATGCAAAAAATGGAGTAATCACGGCTTGATGGGGTGTGTGTGTGTGTGTGTGTGTGTGTATATAGACAGTCCTGTTTTTCTTTCATTGAAAGAGTGTAGGTCTTTAAAATACACACAAAACAATCCCCACCATTACTGTGCTGTATTTCTGACTTGACTGCTGCTATACATTGTAGTTGTGTTTCACTACTTGAATATGTGTTTTCTATGTGTTAACCTCAGGTTGTCTGTGTTCAGTGTTATTTGTTATCATTTCCCCAATGTGTATGCCTTTATGCATTTCCTCTCAACAACTAAAGATTAGTAAAACTCTCGCCCTTCATATTAGAAATGGATAACTGTGGGTATTAATTGACATTAATATTATGTGTGCAACACTGTTAACTGTCAAATGTGATTACAGTTGCAACTTAGGGGGGCGGATAAAATGGTAACTTGCACATACTTAATGTGCTTTTTGTCAGAAGTGATTGTTATCAGACTACGGTAAATATTTAGTGTATACACAATGCCTTGAGAGCAAATACTTTGAGATTTTGTTGGTGTTTTGCAATAGATATACAGTATACTGTATCTAAAGTAACAGGTAACACCTAATTTAAAAGCAAAGAAATGGGTTGAAAACGTATAAACATATTGTTACAAACATAATGTTTGACTTTCTATAAAGCTTTATTGAAAATTTGTATTTTATAAAGCACCCACCAATATTAAGGAATGTCTTGTCAAAGAACTCCTGTATTCTCATTTAGCCTTCAAACTTGATTAGACTATTTGCCTTCATCTTTTTTGCTAGTAAAAGCAAAAACATCATTTTGATAGACATGGTTTGATTTTTTTTTTTTTTTTAAATAAGCTGCTGAATTTTAAAAAAGTAATACTTTTGGGGCCACCAAATATTTTGGATCATGCAAAGAATCTATATTGTACTGTAGTAATTTTGTAATATTTGTAAGATGATATAGTGGATGTGACTGGTTACCATTGCTTGAATCTGTACATTGTTCCAATAAATTGTTTACATTATTACGGGCCTTTGTCTTGTCTTGTCTCAAATTCTGTAGAGCATGTTGTCCTGCTACAGCTGCACACTATTAACGTAAGGAAAAGTGTTTGTGATAACTGCTGTCTCTGAGGCCTCTTCTATCTTTTATTTGTTCAGACATTGGCTGAGCCTCAGATTCCAGCATTAGATTTTAGTGATGAATTTGACTTTGCATACACTTTTTACAATGTGAATGCACTATGTGATTATATATATAATAAAATGTCCCAGTGCAGTGACATACTGTAATTATTGCAGTAAGAACTTCAGACAACAATAATCCCCCCACACATTAAATATTTTTAGGAAAAGCAGGATAAAGGTAGATTTATTTGAAAAGAAATATGTATTTCTTCTTGTTTCTACTGCTGGGTCTTTGAGCTTCACTGTACAGAATGATGTATGAGCAGAGTATTTTTTTTTTCCACATTGATCTGCTTCAAGTTTCTCAGAGCTCATTGAAAATCTGATTTCAAGGGGTGGGCCTACAAGCATGATTTGTGACATTACAAATAGTTTATAAGTCAATCACGGTCCAATTTGCAGCGTATACAAGTGTGATATAGACACGTGAAGCCACCAGTGAACGTACACTGAGAATGGACTTTCCAGTGAAGGAGACATCTTGTGTCCTTTAAAAACTTTAGAAATGCACACAATTAGAACATCCATAGATTATGGAATTTTTAATGAGGTAGAAAGAGTAGATGCCTTTTTTTTTTAAATTCTTATTTAAATAATTTCAGTTTTAATTCATGTCTGGAGGGGATCTTTAATATGACTTTCCCCCTCTTATTGTATTTCTTTACATAAATTTTAGTTTTATGCATACCAGAATTTACTGTACTTAAATCATTTAACATGCATGAAGCTACAAGTGCCTGGTCATTCATTCATGTTTGATTTAACTGGAACAATACTTGCGGAATCTATGTTGCCTTAATGTACCAGATGCCTGTCAGTAAAACTAATAGTTCAATAGACATGGTGGACAAAAGTTGTAAGCCTACATATTACTGTAATGGGCCCCTGCATAAAAGAAAATGCTTAGTGAGTGGAGTTTCCCAAGTTGTGTTCACAGCTGGTTTGGAATATAAAACTATATGATTTCATTTAGCATTATGGCTATTGGTATTGTGTATATTGCTGTGGTCTGGCGTATGTTTATTTATTTTTTGTTTTTTAATCAATCTAAATGTTGTAATCTCGCCTGATTCCCAGTTTATCCTCCTCGATCTTGCCGCTGCAACGTTTCTAGTCTACATGAGTGTAGGAGTTTACGTGAAGTACGCGAATGCAGCATTTTACCCAGCGACGGCGCGACGTTTGCCCTGCTGATATTATCCGCCATTGGTAGCGCTGTTTCGTCCACCGAAAGCCAACATTTCTACGGGAAGAAACCATAGGGGAGAGACTCCGTACAGCCGAGTGGAGGTGGAGTCTGAAGGTGGGGAGGGAGAAGAAAGGGGAGGAAAACGGGGAAAGGCAGATACAACAGAAACGGGGGGAGGACGGTGGATGATTTACGCTTTAAAAGTTGCCTTACAACAAATCTAAGAGTTGCGGCGAAGAGGAATTAAAACAAGATGATAACGCCCTTCTTCCTAGAGAATTTCTGGGTAGGTGGTGCTCTTTTTATTCACGGTGTTTACACCGGTGCTATTCCTTATTATTCTCTTGCTGTGTTCCCTCCCTATCATGTCCATGTCAGCCAGTAAAACCAAGTATTCACGTTGCAGAGGTAGTCGTCTGGTTCACGGGCTTGCTGTCGCTGAAGCGGCGGTGTCCGGTCCGGTGCCGCCAGACCGACCGGTCAGCAGCCCAAACCGGCCGTCGTTCATTTTCCTCGGCGATTATTATTTTGCCACCCCGGGGTTTAGGGCCTCTGTGAACCCATCTAACTTGAAACCCCCACAGAATCCACCCCTTGCTCCCGCTAATTGGCCCTCTCAGGCTTGCTTGGAATGTTTATGGTCAGTTCCATTAATGCCATTGGACGCGCCGGCTGTCAGTCAACGTCCTCGGCCGTGCGCGTCATTTTCTTCCGTCACAAAGTTTCAGTGAGAGGCCAGATGTTTAGTAAGTTAGAGAACAGCTTTTTAAAAACACGAAACCAGCCCCTCACAGTCTGGACATTTAGCTGATATGTGTGTCTAGCCAGTGCTGTAATGCGTGTATCACAGTTACTGTGCGTTCACTGCTGTCTGTGTGCTGCCGAAAGGTCATTTCTCTTCCGATTTGACGTGGCTATGGTATAGCAGGTTGAAAAGTAAAAGTTTTCGTTACTGATATTAATGTCACCCTCAATTTGTCCGTCAACAGCCTGTCTGTTTTTTTTTTTTTAATATCTTTTATTGTTTTGTTTTTATTGCATAACTCCAAAGCCATAAAGATAGTGTTATTAAAACGGCCACAGCTATATTAGGCTGCTGCACTAAGCTAAGGCCATGTAGTTCACTATTACCACTGTAGCAAGTCTGTGTCAAGTTTAGGATTTTGTTTGTCTTCTGTTGACTCATCTGAGCTGTTTTTCACTGCTGTGGTGTCTTCAGTGGGTCAGGGGGGGGGGGTGGTTGAGAATAGCAATAGGTAAATGGTCCTAATAAATGTGTTATTGCTTTGGTCTGTTGTTTTTCAGTGATCAGGTGTACTCACAGTCCTTGGAAATTGAGTGCCTCAATAACAGCTCATGTTGCCAAAACATACGTCTCTTATACAGCATGGCTTTAGCGCTGATATGCCGAAACAGAAGTTCATACGGTGCACGTCTGGTTTGTAGGCTGTGGCGGTATTTCTGTGTATTTGTCAACTACCTTGCACAGCTCTGCTTTTTAGCCTCAGCTGACCTCCGCCCCAGGTGTTGAAGGCTATTGGGAATCCTCTCTCAAAGCTGGTCAAATGAACTTAGTTAAGTTAGTTAAAGGTTCAAAATGAATGAAGCAATGAAGAAAGTACAGTACTGTCGCCCTCTTAAAACCTTTTCCTAAAGGAGACTTCATCATTAACTGAATGGAAAAGAGGAGAGCAGAGTCACTCCTGATACTTGAATCTGCCCTTTGTGCCCTGCAGTGGGGCCACAAGAGAATCCAGTGATGGCAAAGATCAGCTGTGTGTTTAACATGCAGGACACACACGCACGCACACTTGGCATTGGGAGACACATCCATTTCCCTTTGACTTGACTACAAATCATCACCACAGGCAGACACACACACACACATTAGGCTGTCTGGAAACTTTTGCCCGGCACGCAGGGGTATACACCTGTCTCCACCCTGTGCGCTTTCACTCAGTCGTCTTTGTAGAGACATTTTTCTTCATTCTTTTCCTTGTATGTAATCTCGGCTTGAATCTCTGATGCAGACAAAATCTCCCCTCAGCTGAATAAACAAGTTCTTTAGGAATTAGGAGCCAGACATGTTACCGCCATGTTGTTTTCTCTGTCAGAGCTGCAGCACTTGATCGGTCACTACCCGCAACATTTCCTCTGGTTAGATTTATTCACACATCTTAAATGGGCATTTCCCTTTTTTTTTTTTTTTGCATGAGTAAGTTAGTTCGCTGTGACCTGTTGTTGACAGTTTGAACAGGTGATTGCCCCCACACGTGGTGAAATGTGGATTAGTATGTCAGGTTACCAAAGGCGGCAGGTAGTGCTCCTCGTGCTCTAGTTTTAGCCCTACATTTACAATAAGCATATGTTTAATGTGGAGTCTGTTAGCCTCCAGCATATCATGGGAAAATAAGATGGCAGTGTGATAAGCAAACAGTGTTGATACAGCCAACAGCCCCAGGATGGCCTTCTTCTCCCTGGTGTCTGTGTTATGTATGTGTGTGTGTGTGTGTGTGTGTGGTCTAAGAGGTTCTCACACAACTCACTGTGTGCAAGTTTCACAGTCACACTCCCACAAGTTACCGTCAGACAACTGAAGTGTCGCAATAATGCAGCGAAGACTGAAGCAAGAGATGAGATGGACAATAATTACACATTTCCTTTTCAGCCGGCACCTTTTCTCCAGCTGAGCCTCAAATACACAAACGCAAACATGCTGCTTTCTATCTTTTGTCTTCAGAGGAAGGTCTCGTCGAGTGTTTCGCAGTGCAACCGAGCGCTGAGGTTACAGCAAAGAGCCATGAGAAAGAATCAGGGAAAGTTTCTGTTTTGGTCAACACTGACTTTTGGTTTTGCTTGAAACAGACGTCCCGCCTCGTGGTGGTCGCTGTCTTTTGCTTTTACCGGTTGCTGTCCAGGTCTCATAAACTCCTACATGGAGGTGTCTGACTGGGTCGTAGTTTGCGATGAACTAATTTGTTGTAATTTTATCCTGAAGCCATATACGCCATGTCACATCCCTAACCATAAGTTGTGGTCAAGCTCTTCCACATTTATGTTTGCACCACAAACAAAGCTCCACCTGTGTGTGCTTACCGCATACTACAATATGCTGCATGTGTTGCTGTTGGTCTGATGCGACAGCTCAGTGCGCCGCTCCCAGACCTCTCTGGTCACATGACTGGGGGCACAGACACCCTGATGTCATCCTGCTGTCTACGCGCTCTGTGCTCGTGGCTCTGTCTGTCTGGAGAGAGCCACTCTTGTTTAGCTATTCCTAAATTCCTCAGTGAAAGTGTGCAGTCGCGCTTCTTCCCCTGCTTCTACCTGAACATACACTCAGAACCTTAAAAGGAGCCGTGTCAGCCAGGACACTTTTAATTCTGCCTGTTTTTTTTACTGTTTACTCAGTTGCTAGTGGAAAGACTTCCTACGGCACACTCGGGCTACCTATGATATATTTTGTGCCGTTATGTGACGACTGCGCACACTGTATACAGCCATGACTCTAGAAAGTTTGTCAGTTCTGCTTATAAGTTAAGAGAAATAGGTTTGTTTTCAAAGTAGTTCCACTTTGCAGCCTGCACAGTAAACACGCCCTCTGAAGACTTTGTGATGTATTGAAATGAGTGGACGTTCTGAAGAGACTCTCAAGCTTAGCTCATCTTTGTTATCTTTTATAGTTTGAAGAAGAGGGCAGTTTAAGATTGAGAGACAACCATAACCTGCTTTTTCCGTGTCATGGGTTGCGTTACTGCACGTCAGGCAATAAACACTTGATTCCCTATACACAGGATATTGAAACTGTCCTCTCCGTGATAAACTGCAGCCCCTGTGGTTTTGTTCATCTTAAAGGTGGTATTTCAGATTAGGGATTTCAGCCATCTGACGGTTTGTTTTTTGTTTGTGGATTTTACTCTGTAACAAAATGTAATTACATTGATGTTACTGTTGTGTGTGAAAACACAATACAATGCAGAAGGTCTGTGGTGTGTTTCCAGGTCACGGCTTCATTGTATACAGACTTGAACAGACACAAAACTGCCTGCATCTCACACTTTAATCATTCAAATATCTTATTAACTTAGGAGTCTGTGTGCTGATGAGTGCGTATCAATATAGCATCATCCTATTATGAGAGAGTCCTTTGGGATTTTGATTATTTTAATATTATAATTGTGGTTTTGTTTAATATTTATTTATTCTTATTGAAAGACAAAACATTAACATTACAAATAGGGCTGCAACTCATGTTTATTTTTATTGTCAATGAATCGTTTGGTTCTTAATATATCAGAAAACAGTGAATAACAGCCATATCATTTCCTCCACCGCCACCAGCAGTCTAAAAGAGAAAAATACTAAGGTTAAATATCACATAAGATAAAGAAAAGGTGCATATCTACATATTGGAGAATCTAGAACAAGGGGATGTGTGGTATTTTTAGTAGTGTGTTATACTGAAGTGTGTGTTCTGATTTACAGTTGAGTGATACAGTCCTCTGAACTCAATTGCATCCGGCACCATACAGCCAACCCGAGGTTTGGATTCAGTTTTCTATGCACTCCCCAGTAGTCAAACCGAAATGACTACCTTAACATGTTAACACTGCCCACCAAAGTCAACAGGAATGATTACAAATGAAAGAGTTCACTGAGGAAACAGGTGGCAGAATCAAGAGTCACAGCTCTGTCACTAATGTTAAGCTCTTGCTGTAATAATAACATTAGAATTATAACTGCAGTTAGTGTCACAAACCCTGCAGTTCTCAGAAAGTGTTCAAGGACCTGAGTCGTTTCATAATAGCTTTTTTTTCTTTCCAGGAACAGAAAGGACTGGCTTTAGTGTGAACACCACTTTAAAACCTGTATAGTCTATTGCTGTGTAATAAATCATGCATTAAACAGTAAGTGAGGTTGCTGCTTTTTCCATCCCAGCTTCTCCGTGCTCAGGAGTGGAAGTACTCTTCCCAGCAGAAGCATTAGTGCACCTTCAGCCATGACGTAAGCCGTCTACTTGCCGCACTATTACCTACATTTCTTTCTGTCCGCCTAAAGCATACAAAGACGCTGGGTCCCCCTGTCGTCTGTGCAGCGCAGACATGGTGCAGTGCACCAAGACTTAACTTCACGTCGGGATCCGTTTCTGTCTCTGATAAACACTGGCACACGCTGAATATTGGACAGCTGACGTATTTCACTCTTCCTTTTTCATGAACTCGATCCGTCTGTTGCAAGCTGCCTCAGCTGCAAACTGTGCTATTGCTCAAACAAACCGTGATTGACGTGTGCGCTAACCCCTCAGCATGTTTTCCTCCGTTCGGGGTGGGGCAGAGAGTTAAAGAACTTCTGCATCTCAATCCGAGCATAAAGAGTACTTCTGAATTTCACAACGTGTGGGTGGAATATTAAACACCCAGTACAAGAGCTTTCATCAATGAGTGTCCAGACATGGACGTTGAGAAACTGAGCGGCACTCTGGTATCACTTCCCCTCTCCGCTGCTCTTGCAGATGTAGATGTACAGTCCTAAACTAGCTAGTGGACTGATTTTAACTTCAGGTTTGTTTTAAGGTCAAGTTACATTGTTGGCTTTGTTTAGGATTATTTTTTCTCTAAATCAATTCCTCTATTGTAAGTCAAAAACGCCCTAAGCTGTTTCCTGTGTTTGTTTTTACTTGTATTCATTGATATCTCAGTCCAAATGTGCCCAGTGGTTGCACAGAATGGACTCTCTTCCTGTTGCTGTTCTGCTCTGTTTGGAGTGTGTTTTCACTCACTTTTGTCACTTCCCTGTTTTGTCAACGTGTCCCTCACTTTGTGTTTCTTCTAAGTTTCTGCAGTAGAGCATTACGTAAGGTTGGTGCTATGGTCCGTGTCTCGTGTGTTTGCATGTCATGCTGTGCCCCACAGGCAGGTTAAACTGCTACTAAACTTTTTTTTTTTATAGTCCTCTTGTTTCAACAGGAAGCACATCTCAGTGGTCTGTTCCCCGAGGTAAAATGTAGGCCAGTCAACTGTAGCCTAGAGAATGATGCTTTCCTTTTAATGTCTGTTTGCTCTGTAAATATAGTCAGATTGGAGCAAACTCTGCGCTTCATTCAGACACAAATTCCCTGACCTTTCATCTTTGTCAGTGTGGAAAAACAAGGCTAAATCCATTTGTCAAAGCCGCATCGATGTTGTAGTCCATGTACCAAAGTGCTGACAGTGGATGGCTCCAGGAACCAGGAAATATCTGTGACCGTCTTTGAGGCGAAACAAAGTTGGCCCGCAGATTTAGACAAGAATGAAGAAGAACTGCGGTGCACAGACGTGTTATCCTGACTTCAGCCTTTGTTTGAGTGAAAGTATGAGTTTCCTTATTTGTCTCAATTTCACTAGATGCTAGAGTAGCAGAATTTAGGATGATTTGCCATTTTCCTAACAAGCTGCCACAAGCTATCTTAACAATTAACGCATTCACTCAGTGGCTGTTATTGTAATCTGTTGGACAGTAGTTGCTGTCTATCTGTTCTCTCAGATAATCTGTGTTTTTTTAAAAAGGGCACTTCCTTAGCTTTAAGCTATGATTTGTATGTTTCCTCCCTCACTGAAGAAACAGCCTCAAGGAGGGCGATGAGGAAGTAAAGTGATCCTTCTTCTTCTCTTCTAAGAAGTGACAAGAAGGCTTTGAATTGAAGGTGTGTCAAGAATAATGTGTTTAAATAAACTGTAGAGTGCAGTCCATTTATTACTGCTAAACCTAGTGTTGCTCAGATGACCAACAAGCCTGACCTATTAACTGTACTGTTATTCTAGACAGAGGGCGATAAATATTATTCTCAGTCTTATCTTGAATACAAATCCAGCACTATAAAAGTCAACCAGTAACCTGAGCTCTATTTAATAGTAATGTTCATAATGAAGTGTATTATCTGATTCTGCAGGTGTCTGGTTGATTGATTTATTATGCTGCCAACATTCTTATCAGTCCTACCATTTGATATCAGAGTCTCTTATTCCATAGGGTATATGTAGAATCTACATATGGATCCCTTAGATTTGTTTTGCTTTGTTATTTAGTTTTTTTTCTATTAAGTTGCAGATTTCTATAACTTATATAAGGTTGCAGATTGCAACCACTGAGTACAGCTCGGCCTTCCAAGCATGTAGGAAACATACAAAAGGCCCTATCTAGAGCCAGTGTTTGGTTTGTCTGTTCTGGGCTACTGTAGAAACATTGCGGCCTCCGTAGAAAATAACAGTTAAGGAAATGAAAACACAACGATTTCCAGGTGATTAAACACTAATAAAAACATACCTGTGAATGTTGTATTCAATTTCTGCCAGTAGATCCTCACTCAAAGTTGTCAACTGGACCTTTAACTCTAATTTATATTGAGAAGGATATTTTACAGTTAAAAATACCCACTTATAAGCGCTTTCTGGTGGACAAACTTTGTAACACTGTTTCTAAAATGACTTCATACCCAGTTGGACATTTCTGTTCGGCAGTTTCTTGTTACGTATTGATCGTACGACACATAGATACCAGTATCTGCAATCAGCTAATATTGCATGACTCTCTCCGAAGCTCTAACACAGGAAGTAGTGTGTGATAGAGTAAGCCAGTTTTTTATTTATTGTTATATTGTTCTTGGAATTCATTGCGATTGTTTTGCTTGCTGTAACTTCCCATGTTTTATTCATTGTCTTGTTTATTTTTTATGTACACCATTTTATGTAAATTAGCAGCACAAAAATCATTATTAGTAGTAGTGGTTGGCTGTTGCTCTATCTGTACTATAAGGGTATGGTCATTTATGATTATCAAACATGTTCCAAATATATACCCAACATTTTTCATCATATTAATTATTCAGAGGTACATTTGCATTTTTAAAGCATCAGTGCAACTGAACACCGTTACCCAGTGGCATGGTTACGGAAACACAGACAGGCGCTTGTCCGGCTATCTCTTACATTAAACGCTCGAACCTTATACCAGTGTAGCACAATTTTAAACATTTTTAACATCCATTAGTCTAAAACATGGCGAAGATGAGTATGGTTGACCAGAGGCTGCTGCAAACGCACCTGGAAGCTATGCAGACAGTGAGAATGCTGCTTAGAGAAAAAGCCTTCACGGTAATGTCCATTTAATAACTCAGGTATTGTGGTTATTTGGTAGACTTGGTGTTTGTTCCTGTGATTAATCTATTTCTCTCTAAAATGCAGGGTGAAAAAAATAATGGCTTTGATGTGCTCTACCATAACATGAAGCATGGCCAAATTTCCTCCAAGGAGCTGACAGACTTCATCAGAGAAAGGTAGGTCTGATACACATTAACATGCAGCACATTAGACATTCGCTGGTATAATGTGTCTAGCTCTTTAATACATGTCCTACCTGTCTGTTGGTTTCCTTGGTATCTGAATACCTATTCTATTTCCAAGTCGACTCCTGCTGTTCCGGTTCTTTGTATTGTGCTTGTAACAACACCCAAATGCTTAGCTGAGGCCGCAACTAAAATCCACTCTGAATGTGTCTCATTGCTATGGATGTACATCTAAGATCTCATGGGTTTGTTCTAGCTAGGGCTGCAACTGACTGTTTTTGTCATTATCGATGAATCTTCTGATTATCTTTCCAATTAAACAATTCATGCTCCAAGTACAAATTCTCACAATCCAAGATCTTTTCATGTCCAAAACTCAAAGATATTCAGTTCTCTATGATAGCACATTAATCATTAACCTATTATAATGTGTCTGGCTCTTCAATACCTGTCTTCTGGTTGTATCTTAATCTATTTCCAAGTCGGCTCATGCAGTTCCACTTCCTTGTATTGTGCTTGTAACAACACCCGAATGTTTAGCTGAGGCTGCAAATAAAATCCACTGATTGCTACAGAGTTACCTCTCAAACCATACGCGTTTGTTTTAACTAGGGCTGCAACAAATTATTTTTTTTGTCAGTTAATGTCCATTAATGTTCTATGAAATGTCAGAAAATGGTGAATAAATGCCCACCACAACTTCTCAGAATCCAAGGTGATGTCTTGAAATGTCACTGTGATACATGACAAAGAAAATCACATTTGAGAAGCTGAAACCACAGAATGTATAGCATTTTTGCACTGCTATTGCTTAAAAATGCTCATGCTTAATCGATTATCAAACCTAGTTGCTGATTATTTCTGACTAAGTGTTTAACTAATTCTAACATCAAGATGAATCTCTCTTCACATTGACCAGGAACATTAACCAGTAAATGTAGTCAGTAGATGCAACATTGTGACTAAAGGTAGATGTAGATGAGTATGAATGTTATGCAAACTTAATCCCTTTGTGAAAGAAGCTTAAACCTTAGCCCACCGGTAACCTGGCATAACGTCACACACCTTCAGTGTCTGCAGCGTGATAATACCATAATAATAGCTTCTTTTCAAATTCTTCCCACCTCCATGAAGATTAGCTGCGCTGTGTCAGGTGTATGTTTATAACCTGCCACATGATAGATGGTTTACCACTGGAATTCAACAGTGGATTCCACAGTCTAGCTGGCTTTGAGGAGTACACTCAGTCACTCAGACACTTTAATAAAACACCCGGTGTTGGATGTGAAATGCTTGATCGACTGTGTTTATTGAAAGATATTTGGAAAGTCTTACGAATACTGACAACGTTAAGGTTATTTTACATTAAAATTATGGCACAATGCTTCGGAAAATCATCATATTTTCATTTTGTTAGTAATTAAGTTTTACTTTTGTAATAAAATGCAGTAATTTACCATCACACGCATCTACAGTTATTCTTTTGGTGGCAGAGGTTTGGCTTATGATTGCCAATGTAATGTCACTGTTTAAACTGTTCACATTAAATTTGTTGTAATAAATCATCCTTTAGCTTGCACTCTGCAGGGATGTTGTAAATACATTACAGATAAATCAATACATCATTCATGAAAGAGAAAGAAGTTCAGGTAGAGATTAATTTATTGTGTCGTACAATATTTGCTTATACTTCTCAGGGGTTTCTAGGTAGGCTTGAGCTTTTCAGTTGTAAGACTTAGGAGTAATAGTTCATGGTTTCTTACTTCTGAAAAACTGCACTATGGCTCCCTCTGGTGGAGAAAGAAACTTTGTGCACTGTGTTAATATATTGCAAGCATCTTTGCCACTGTATTCACTTGATCAGGGACCCTTCTCCTAAAAGCATTTTTAAGCTAAATAGATATTAGTAATTTCCGAAAGGCACACAACATTTCTTGTTGGTGCTCTGTTGCAATTCTCTGCACTGAGAGACAAATACCTGCACAAATGTAGCGGACTGCAAGTAATGATTGTTTTCATTATGGATTAATTAATTGAAATTTTTAAAATAATTTAAAGGAAAAGCAGCAAATTTTCATCTTTTGAGAATTTAGAACCCTGAAATGTTTTTTACATGAAAAATTAGGTTATCAATTAATTTACTGTCAATTAACTAATTGATAAATCGACTAATCATTTGAGCTGTACTTGTATAAACTGATGTGTAGTTTTTTAGTAATTTCTAACAAAACATCCGTTGGATAAACTCTTCACATCTTCTTCTGCAAAGTACAACACAGTTTAAACATCTACTTTTGTAAGTTCCGGTTTTGTAGGCCGACGTTACTCTTGGGACTTCAGCAGTATTTACAACACGATAAAGAATAAAAATAACCTGCCATTCTGTGCTCACACGAAGATGTGGAAGCAGGAGTGTGACGTATGATGCATTTCTAGCTTCTCCCATCTTCTGTGTTGTTGGGCTGCGTGGGAATTTGCTTGGTCCTCCATTGGATGTTTGTGTTTGTGTGTGTTTATGATAGATGTGTGTGTCCGTGTGTGTGCACGTCTGTCCTGTTTCCCCCTGGCTGACCTCGTTCCTGTGAAGAAACTGGAGAGAGAGAGCGAGAGAGAGAGAGATGCATAATTCAGGCTTTCACTATAACACTGCTGTACTTCTTTTTTTGTTTTTTTCTACTCCTGTCACTTTGCTGCAGAATGAAGGAATAAAATACGAAATTGAGAGAAGCAGGGAATTCAAACACTAGCTTTCATACTCTGTCAGCTTCAACATGAGGTTTATGAACAAATCACAAGCCAAGCCACACTTATTTGCCCACACACAGTGCATGTGGTCAAACATTTATGTTGCAAGTTCTAAGTGGGTGTTTCTGGCTACACTTGTTTAGTGACATGCCCTATTTGAGCCATAACCTAGTTGCAAATGCTTTGGAAAAACTTTGTGGTACTATACATTAAAGGGGGTTTTAAAGGTTAACTTTGGGTAATTGAGTTGTTGTTCTGGATCATTTATAATGATTTAACAAGTAATTTCTAAAAATGTATTTTTACTCTGTCCTAGGAGTACTATTGAAGAGGCCTATGCCAGATCCATGACCAAACTTGCCAAATCAGCTGGCAACTTTTCTCAGCTTGGGTGAGTGTAAACCGCTTTCTAGTTTTTGTAAGAAGGTTTTGCAATGTTCTAGCTCTGAAGTGTCACTTTTCATCCCAGGACTTTTGCTCCAGTGTGGGATGTGTTCAAGACCTCAACAGAGAAGCTGGCTAGCTGTCATATGGAGCTAGTGAAGAAACTACAGGAACTTATAAAAGAGGTTCAGAAGTATGTGGAAGAGCAGGCCAAAGCACACAAAAAGGTAAGGAGATGGACAATTAGGGGAAATTGTAGCATTCAGGCAGTTAGGGCTCAGTACATTGGATTTTTTTCTTAATCAGGTTTCGGTACCAGTATCAGCACATTTATTATCAATATCTCAAGTTCTGAAATCTTTAATGTTTTCTCAACACAAGCAGCTGTACAAAAACACATAGTCAATGTACAATATTTAAATCAGAAACTGTCTCAGTGAAAAAGTAAAGAAGAAAGCAAATTTGAGCAAAAATTCATAGCAGGCTTTGGTATTTGCCAATTTCTAATACTTGGTGTGGAAAACATGTGTGGGTCAGTACCAAAGAAAAGATACTCTGATACCCAAAAGAGTCCTCACATGTCTCTGTCACTCCTTCCCTTCAACTGTTTTCCTTCGAATTATCACAAGGAGTTTGCTGCTCCAGTGTTAAAGTTTTCTTCATTGAGGAAAATGAACTGTTTAAAAATCCTATCCATGTAGTAAGACATATATAATAATAGTTTGCTTAGAACAATAACATGCATTTGATATGTTTTTCCTGCAAAAAAAATAAATAAATAAATAATTCCAGAAATTGTGATAATTTCTTACATTTTTCTGATGGACACAAGATGTCTCCTACACTCTTAAATATATTCTCTGTTTATGTGCACTGTTGGCTTCAGGTTTCTACATCACACTTGTATAAGTTGCAAATTGGTCCAGGTTTGACTTCCAAACTATTTGTGATGTCAGAAATGTCCGTAGGCCCGGCCCTTAAAACCAGGTTTTCAATGAGCACAGAGAAACTTTCCACTTACAGCAGATAAATGTGAAAACATCTAATAGTGACAAGCTCTGCACGTACATCATTCTCACAGTGAAACTCAAAAATCCAACTGTAGGAGCAAGAAGAAAACAAAAGAGGGGGATTTTAAACATAGATCTCTTCTCACCTCTTTGTTTTCCGTAGATTTTTTACACTCTACTCATCGTCCCTAGAGTGAAAGAAGAAGAAAACGTAGCGTGCAGTGTGTTATTCTACGAAGCGGTTTTTTACACCTCACCCCTCCATCTCTACTCCCTGCTGAAACACACCATCAGCTCATATCTCATGCATGAAGCCACAGAACAGTGTAAAATAGGAGCTTGGAATTAGTGGAGCTGCATTTTTGCTTTCAGCATGACAAAAAGGCTGTCACAGTTTCTCTCAGTCACTTCCCTACACTCCCTGTTCCTCCCTGCACTGTGTTTCTTGGCTAACTTGCAGATAATACAGTACATACTGTAGTATGTAAAGAAAAATAAACACCCATCTTGGAGTAGGTGCTCAAACTTTGTACGTAATGTAGGACTTTGCTAGTGTTGTTTTCTTTTGCTCACTCCAGTGATGTTTATATTATACCATAACTGTGTCAAAATGAGCAGCACACAGGGTTCAGTGTTGATGATGATGAATAAAACAAACGATGAAGCTCATTGTGTGGCCACTGTAATTTAAAGTCATTACCTCTTGATTATATTTTTCTTTTTATGTCTTTCCAGTAAGTCAGTGTTAAGAGCTATACTGTACAGATGGAACAAATGCAGAGTGTTATACATTTATTAATAGCCTCTATATGGCTTTAACTGCTTCCCGCTGCACTGTGCAACATCTCATGCTGGAAAATGAAACAGAGGAACTGTAATAGTGTTTTACTAGAGCAATAAAGGACCTCTGTCTACGCTGAAATTGTGTCATATAAACAAAGGAATTCCAGGACAAGTGTTGACTGTGTATTATGTTGACGTCAAACTATACAAGAATTAACTCCATAGTTAGCAGAGCAATGGTGAGACTTGCACTTCTTGTTCAGCGTGTTGTTCTCTGAGTTACTGAACAAAACATTTGTGTGTTGCTAGACAAAAGAGGAGGTGGCGTCCACCCTGGAGGCCGTACAGAACATCCAGACCACCTCTCAGGCTCTGCAGAAGTCCAAGGAGATCTACAATGCCAAAACTGTGGAGCAGGAGCGCCTCCGCAAAGAGGGGGCCACCCAGAGAGATGTGGACAAGGTGGGAGGTCACATTTGCACATACACACACCCACATAATCATGGTATGGTAATAAGGCATGATGAAGTGCCTTAACGCTCCACTTTATACAGAAACTTTAACCCCAAAAGCTTCTTGCCTTCAGATGTTAAGCGGGGCTCGGTTTCCTCGCTGATTCTTCAGTTGATCTTGGGAAACAGAGGCCCATTGTGTATAGTTTATAAACTGATGATAGCCATTTATCTGTCTGTTTATATTTTGCAGGCTGGAGTGAAAGCCAAAAAAGCCACAGAGACCTACAAGTCATATGTGGAGAAATATGCCACAGCTAAGTCAGAGTTTGAACAGAAGATGGCAGAGACTGCACAGGTATTGTCATGAACTGATTTTGCCAGTTCTGTGTGCGTGTGCTTTAATGAAATAATGTGCTCGCAAACTCTGTCTATTGTCTGTCTCTGTGGTATGCAACACTTTCGTTGTGTAATCCATCAGCCCTCTGTGTGTGTGTGTGCGCATGTGTGTGTGTGTGTTCCACGTTTCGTGCCCTGTATCATCTCCAGATTGTGTTTTTTCCTCTGTAACGGAATCGCTGTGGAAAGCCCTGATTGGATCCATCTGAAGGACTGATTAGATAAACTCCAAATTAAAATCAGATCAACAGAATTTGGCCTCCATATCCTCCTGCACCGCAGCAGCTCCGCCACCAGAAATGGTTCTAGTTATCGTAGCGGGTTTTTTTATTTTTTTATTCTCCCCCTAGAGAAAGCGGTGTTGCAGCTCTGCTTCCCCGGGATCACAGTCTACGGCTCATCTCAAACGCAGCACGTGTGGACATGAGTTATAAACACTGAACACATGTGCTCTCTGACATCACTGGGGCTCCTACATGTGTGTTCTCTTTGTCTGAGTGTGTATGTGGGTGGGTGTGTCTGTGTGTGAGCGTATGCTAGCTGTTATCGTGGTGAAATGACAAAAGTGCAGTTTTATTTATGTGCATGTCTCTGTAGTGTAGATGTAAGAGTAAGTGGCTCTTCATCTGTGTGTTTGTGGTTGGAAAGGCTCATCTATCTCTCCACTCACACTGTGATTTTCCAGTTTATGATTATTTATACTCATTCTCCTTGGTTAACCCCAGAAGCCCAGAGTCAGACTCAAATGGAAGTAAGTACTAGCATTTAAGTTTGTGATGTACACCATACTACTGCTTAAACCCAAAAACGAACTCCCGTCAGTGTATCTCATGAACAGAATAATTGACATCTTATGGGAGGAGCTATATATACTGTATGTGTGTGTGTGTGTGTGTGTGTGTGTGTAAAAGCCAGAGACCACCCAAACAGACACACAGGAAGTGGCAGGGGCAGAATAAGGAAGTTTCGTAGGCTGCTTTTTGTCCTTAACTTATTTTTGTTTTCATGTTTAACGAGTCTGACACCATGATGCACATCAAAGCGACTAGATGATTTGTTGCATCGCCGTGCCGTAACTATCCTCGACCTGTGTTCCAGAAATTCCAAGACATTGAAGAAAACCACATTCTCCACATGAAGGAGATCATTCAGTCATACTCGCAGTCTGTCGACGAAACGCACATCCAAATAGGAGAGGTGAGTGTGTACACACATACATGCTCTCAAACATTCCTGTGGGTGGAGTAGGTGTCTTGTTGACCTGAGGCTGTGCTCATTGGGTTCACTGTGTGTCATATCAATTAGTGTCGTCTTTGATCTCGCTAATCGTTTAACTGAGAACCAGGAAATGGTCCATTCAGCCTTTTATGCCAAGCAATTAAAAACTGATCAAAACTCCCTCTCAGCCTATCTAAAACACCTCCAGAAGTCCAAACACTTGCCAAATACTGTGTCTGATAGTTAAAAGTGCTGCACAGGCCTGTTGGTCTCTGGAAGAGTGTGTTTAGGTTTGAGAAAACGGCATCAAGTTTGATCAAGTCCAATTGTCACGGCTTTCAAACATCATTTACAACTATATTAATCAGTATTTAACGTCAACCAGAGATTTATTTATTCAGCAATCATACTTACCAGTGCCACACAGAATAACTCAAGGCTGACTACAATCTGCTGCTCTGCTCTCATTAATCTGAAGCTGCTCTGTGCTGCTGCTGCTGCTGCTGTAGTTCTCTTATTGTCCATAGAGGGCAACACAGCTCCACCAACAGCTCGTGCGGCAAGTTGGAAAGAATGTGGAGCGACAGGCTACCGCAGGTTATTCAGCCCCACAGTTCCTGCTTCCGAGCAGGAGATGGGCAGCGCCACAGCCTGTTGCTGAGCCAAATTCAAATACTGCCTGAAGACAGGTGGTCAGTAACTTCTAGCAGTCGAAGACATAGTGATTTGGTGATAAAAAACTCTTTAAACCAGGTTGTGGGGTACCTTGGGAATATTATTCTCACATAAGGATGAGGCGAGAGGGAGGGAGGGGGAGGGCAAAGGAGGCTGGGACTAGTTTCAACTTTGTAACTTTGTGTTTAGCCATTGAGCCCACAGGCATTCATGCTGACAAGCAAACACACAGACAAAATAATTCATTTGCACATACTTACATTTAAAATATCAAATCTTGTGAGCGGAGACGCTGAAGACATACAGCCCTTATACTGTGTTGTTGGAGTCATTTTATTAATGTTTGTACTACCTTTTTAACCTAAGAATGTTATTTCTTCAATAATATTGTTATACCCAAATTCATATTTTAATGACATAAGGTCTGTTGTAGAATATTCAGTTAAACTGACCATACAGTTTAATGAGCCAACTAATAAGTGAAAACTGGCACACAAATTGTACCCCGATTATTACTTCATCAAAAGAGTGAAGAATTACAACATTATTTTTGCCACACAAGAGACAGACGAAAGTAAACAAACACTCCCCCTCTGTGGTTTTCAGTGACTGAATATGATATTTGTGCTAAATGAGTGCTAATAAGCGGAAGGTAAACAAGTATATCACAATTATGAAAGGAGGTCACTAAACTATTATTACTTATACTCACTCTAACAATACAATATTATGATTTATTTGAAAAAATATAAGCATAATCCTGTATGTTCAAACAGATTTATTTATATATATAACATGTTATATGCATTGTTTTTTTATTCTTAGCAGCAAGGACTTACTGTAAGATCCTGGATTAAAAAAAAACATGCAGCCTTGATTGTACTTAGAGGAGGACTCCACCAATTTCACACACCAAATCTGTTTACAGGTTCTGTTGAGTACAGCTGTAGATGTGAAAAAGTTGCAGATGGAGCTGCGTACAATCTGATAAATTGCCTCCTGTGATGTCATCTCTGCATGAGACCAATTTTGCCACTACTAGCATTTGTTTAAATTGAGGGTGCTATAGGTGCTATATTGGTTTTGACAGGGAAGAAGAATGTGTGGAGTAGAAAATTCGATATCTCTGCTTCTGCTGCATCGAATTTGATTCTTAAACTGTCCATCATTAGTCTGACAGTGTTACAGGTGGGTCATGCTAAATTGATTGAGAAATCTTTTAAGACAATCACAGTTTATTATACTGAATTTAGACGTGTTAATAATATCATAATAATAATAATAATCAGCAATTCCTTAGTAGCTCTTCTTAGTAAAAGTAGAAAGGCCATAAGAAATCAATATTTTTCTTAATAAAACATCAAATATAGGGGATTTAAAACATGTATATATCACTATCTCTATAGACATTAACCGTTAAAATATCTGTTATTGCCCCCACATGGCAATGGAAGGATAAACTATTGCCCACCATCTTAGAAACTTGACAGCTGTGGTGAGTCCAACTCAGCTGGTCATCATATAACACGACTGGTGTTCATTGGTGAGAGGCTGGCGAGGGACAATGTTCTTCTAATGGATGATCAGAGTGTCTGCAAAGAGGCCTGCACATGTGGGGTGCGTTAGCATGAATCTCGGTGTGTGTTACATCCTCCCAGTGAAGCTCCTCGCTGAAAGGTGAACAGGAACAGCTGGGGACTCCATTTGTAACGGTTTATCAGAGGAGACATGGCAGTTTACACTCCCACCAGGTCAACAGAGGAGTTAGTAGTGACTTTGACTGTTTTACAAGGGGAATTTTGGGGGGGAAATGCCACAACATCAGTTGTAATTGCCTTATAGTTTTCCCAATAGAGTCCAGTGTTGGAGCTGCTGTCAGCCCAGTTATATTAAACTACCAGAGACAAGGGAGCAGGGAAGTGCAGTGCATGAAACAAAAGCAAAGGGAACCTGGAACCGAAATTGTCACTAAAATCAAGAAGTAATGGCTCAGCCAGTATCAGCTCAGTGGGCATGAAAGGTAAGAGGGTTAGAGTGAAAGGGTGAGAGGGAGGAAGTGAGCAGTGTAAAGAAAGGAAAATACCTTATATAGGTACGGTATATTAAATAGGAAGAAGGGCAGAGTGGTGTTCCCTGTGTAGAGACCTTTTAAACTCTCAGAAGTGCAGGTGTGTCTGTTAGTTTGCGTGCTGTGTTTGTTTTTGTAAGTGAGCATTTGTGTGTGTGAGGATCCCTTGAAGGCAGATGCATGTTTTTGAGCATGTGGTCGAAAGTCTATGCGGGACGAAGTTTGTGTGTGGGTTTGTGTGTGTGTGTGTTTGAAAGAGAGAGAGAGACGAACAGGGCACGCAGGTTGATGACCTCCGTCGTGGCAGCAGCACCTGACAGATCGCGTGTGCTGCACTGAGCATACTTCCTCGCCACAGCAACCCCCCTGCCCCTCTCCCTCATCCCCCCCACCATCCTCTCCTGCCAGGGCACAGAAGGCTAATGCACTCTACCTCGCCACAGGGGCCCGGGGGGCAGACACATACGTGTGTGTATGCGTGTGTGTTTGTTTGATAGTGGAGCCACTCTGCGCTTACAGTATCACGCACATTTAAATGGTTTTGGTGAGATGGCAGTCAGCCGCTGTTCTTCATCCCCATGCCTATACATCGCTTTCACTTCCCCCTCAGTAGACACACAAGCACACATGCACATCCAAAACAAACAAGCAAACAAACAGTATCCTTCCTCTGATACTGCCCAAAGGGCATCAGCAGGCCACAGTGCCAACAGCAATGATTCAACCTGACACAATAGAATGACAGTAAAGTACAGTATGTCTCCACAGGCCAGTTAGAAAGAAAAATGTTATAAATAACAACTAAAGGCACAGCAGCGCAAGTTACAGGGGGAACTTACAGCGGCAGACTGCATTTGTCTCCTGTCATGTGTATCATGAAACAAATTACACCAAGCACTCAACATATGACACAGATGTTTTACATAGGATCCTATGTGTTCTTTGAAATGCTTGTATGGTGTGACATAACGGAAAATATAAAAGTCAAAAGAAATCACTGAACAATAAGCTTCATGTTGATGTTTATATTCAGTTTCATCAGTAATGAGAATTCAATTCTAGTGTGCCAAGAAAAGTGAATATATTAGTGTACAGTGAAGATTAATGCAAGTGGAGAAATACTTGGCTTACCTGACTACAGTAGATGGCTGTTAAACTTTGATTAAAAAAAGCAATCAACATGGCGTGATTTTTATTTCTCCTCCAGCCCAAAGAATTTCACTTAGCGTGGCTCCAAATTGTCCATAAACACAGTATATAATGTATGTTGCTGACAGTCTGTGGCACAGACTGTATCCTGTATTTATAGATTTAAAACTTTTTTTTGAACATCCAAAACTTTTTTTATCGTACTTTCATTTAACACATGACTAAATCTAACCAACAAGTAATGAAAGAATGAGCAGCAATGGCCAGAAAATAGTCAGTGGCACAGAAGGAAGGACGTCTCGCTCTTTAGTTGGGCTCAGAGCATGGCGAGCCTCAATACAATATTTACTATGTGTTGTTCAAATCTTTGTTTGAGTTTGAATGTGGCTGTGCTGCCATGACTATAATATAATATATTTAATCCCACTTGGTTTAACACCTCTGTCAAGTCAGAGTACTGGTAATCATTACATTTTATGTAAGAGAGTTGATCCCCAATAAATGGCCCAAAATAAACCTTTTCATTAACTGATTGCAATGAATGTAATTGATGAACAACAACAATTAACTGTGTAAATTATTCAACACTAAATTGATCAAACATCTGGCAGCAGATGTGGATTTTAGATGAGATTCTGCTGCAGTTGAACTTGTTTTCCCATGTGCTCTCTCCAGCAACTCTCTCAAATTCCAAGTTAAAGGTAACTGTCAGTAAATGTGATTTTTTTCTTCTGGATTTTGTAGTTCCACAACGAATTTGTGAGAAACATTGAGAATACCTCGGTGGAAAGCTTAATACAGAAACTGGCCGAGAGCAAAGGAACGGGCAAGGAGAGACCAGGTAAGCCACCAGAGTCTTATATGCTTTATTCTAATAACGCATGTTTGTCAGTGTCTGGCCTGTGTGTGAATAAATTCGTGGTCAGGGGAACTTGGGCCTTCTGCCTGTTCCTGTCTCATGGGGAGGGTAGGGGTGTATGGAGAGGGGCAATTAGAAGTAGGAGAGGGCCATCAGAGTCAATCATAGTAATCTGCTGTAAAGGTAGGCAGGCTTGGCATTCCAGTAAGCATGTGACACACAGGGGGCTTTGCTGTGCTCGCAGACTAAGCAGGCAGAACCAACCTTTTCAGGAGGTCAGAGCTCAACAATGACTCTTGTGTAAACTTTGCCATGCCACAATAATCAAGGGAATACTCCTCAGACTCCTTTGGCTCTACCCCCTCACCTCCCTCTTTTTCACACACGCACAGCTCATTCATTGATAGTTGGTCACTTACTCTTGCAGTTATTGTGCAATGCTTGATTTTTTTTACCGTCTGTGAAATCTGATGCATGTGAAACACTTTAAAGCCCTAAATATCCAATTACTTCACTACTGCCTGTACTTGTACTACATTACGTCAGGTCACAGGCACAAAGGGTTCACCTCTGCTGTGTTTGTGTGTACACAAATGGTAACCCCTGTGTCCAGACGCTGTGTCCAAGGAGTGGTGGCCTTCATTTGTTTGGACAGCAGAATTAATTGAGGCTAAAGAAACGGTCAGAAAATTCCTCTTGTATCAAGCTGTTCATTAGGGATTGCACAGCAGCCCCGGCCCTGTCAGAAAAATAACCTGTCTGTCCCCTGATTAAATAGCTGAACGGATGGCCGGTCCAGTGCCTTTAGAGAGAGAGAGGTTGAATAAACTTTCTATTGCGGAAACAATCCCAAAGTGACACGCTGCGAGGCAGGGGGGTTCGGAGTGTTCAACGATATCCAGCTGAGCTGTCAACTGGCGGTGGGCCAGACACGCAAACCCCCTCCGCCCCTCTCCGACTCCCAGTGCCATGTGAAGCATATGCAATTTAAAAAACCATTCTCCGCTCATGCGTGACTGCATGCTTCCCTCACAGAGAGTAGAAAGAAAAGAAACATCTTCTCCTGTATAAACAAAGTCGTCTGTCTGTTTAGGAGATGTTTAAACAGTTCCTAATGTCTGCCCAGATTTAGGTAATATTCACGTGTCTGGTGTTTGGACTTTTTTTGCAGTTGGTGTGCATAAATATTGTCAGATGCAATCGCAGAATGCTGGCGGCAAAGAGTTCCTGCTCTGCCTGGGCCTTACGCAGATCCTCAGCATTTGTTAAACATCCCACAGTTTGAATAAAGAATGCAATTTGAAATTTTCCAGTAATTTCCCCCTTTCTGTGTCCTTCTTTATTTCTTTTGTTTGACAACATCTACAACTGATGCATTTAATGAAAGATGATGTCAAATGAGATGCACCTGATGAGTTCAGATAGTCTTACCTGCTTTATGTCAGTACAGTGACCCAATAAGGGGCCGGGGGACGAGGAAATTACCATCTCTCTCACTTCCTCCCATGAGAGAAAGTTCTGGAATTAGCATGCCAATTTTGTTTTGATTGGCATGAAACTCAAACACATAGAGTCGTTCGTGCTGTCATTGTGTATTCGCCGGCGGTGAAGAGGCCTGATATTGCACAGTAGAGTAGATCAGTCATTGGTGTACTTTATCCACTTCACTTGGCGTGATGCATGCCTCTCGTGACTCGCCGCTTCCCTGCGCTTCACTCAGCGTTGCACACGCCAAACAATGCGTCAGTTCTGCTCGCGACTGGCATCCTTTGGGGAGGCCGCGTTGGACTGCTGCTACTGTATACATTTTCAGTTAAAATATCATTAGCTTTGTTGTTTTCAGGTCAAGGCATGTTAGTGTATCGGAAATCTTGCCAGAGGGTCCTGCCCCGTCTCTCTCACTCTCTCTCTGTCCAGCTCATCTTGCAACCTATTAGGCTTTCTAGTTATATCCAGTATTATCTGTGTCTATGCACGGACTGCATGTCTTCTAGGTCATGTATTTTTAAGAAAAAATTGATTCAGATACTTAAAACAGCATTTGCGCTTTGACGTGTTGTTAAGCAGCCAGTTCTAGTCACATAACTGCTGTTGAGTGTAGGAATAAAATACACTGCAGCATGTGTTTAAATGTATAGTTAAACGTATAGATTACATTGGCTAATAGATAATAACATCTCACAGACACCAACAGCCCAACCTCCTAGACTTTTCTGATTGACACATACACTCATTGCATCTCTTGCCTCTGGTTATCCTACAGCTTTTACTGTATGTGTGTGTATGTTATAGCGCTGTCTCTTTGAAAAGCCTCCATAAATGTTTCTGGAGGCACACTTGAAAGCGTGACAATCCAAGTGCAAGGGCCTGGGAGGTAAATGTGTATAATTGATGAGCATTAAATTAAGTGTAAACGTTGTTGTTTTTCGCTGTTTTTCTGAATGATGCATCCAAATAACCAAAAGCAATGTTATTTTCTGTTCAAGTAAATCCACAACTGGTTGTGCTCCAGGTGATATTGTGGTCGTCAGCTGCAATAGATATACATAGATTGACAATTTCCTAAGTGTAATTACTGAATGTAATCTTGGACTTGTTTGTCTTATTGTAATAGGGTTAGTGTGTTGTTGCGTGCTCCATGTGGGCAGATTTAGTTTCAGCTCAGTTTAGTCTTTTTACCTGCCGTTTGCTGTGAATAACAAGGCTCACACGTTGATGTAGAATGGGTTTATAATTGTGGTGATTTAGTTGTCCCAGGTGGGGTTTTTCTCTGTAAGGAAGACTCCGCTGTGGAGCAGCGCTTTGTGTTCCCAGGAGGGAGTCACATCTCTGTGAGGGCCACCAGACACACAGTTGACTCCGCTATTGACCTTGTCTGCCCTCTGGGACCAGCCTAGCCCTGTTTGTATACACTCTCTGTATGGCACGCCAGACTGCATGTTGTATGTTTGCCAAAGTGTGTGTGT